AGGATGCCAGCCTGTGGGGTACAGAATGGGGCCTTTGGGGGTCTTGAGTTCTTGGATGCCCCAGAGCTCCTTCCGGGGGTGACTTCCGGCACTGAGTCTATCTCTTTGGAAAGTTCAGGGGCCGCCCTGTCCTTCGACCCTGCAGGATCTTTGATGCCTGGAGAGCCAAGCTACATAGTACATTATTGGAAAAAGTTTGAGTCCAGTGGCACCCTTAAGACCAACAAAGTTAAATTCTGGGTATGAACTTTGTTGGTCTTAAAGATGCCACTAGACTCAAACATCTTTCTGTTGCTTCAGACCAATATGCCCACCCACCTGAATCTAGTTACATTTTTGGATGTCAGGTCCTGGACCAAACTCCCTGTCCCCACAGTCACACAGCATTTGCAGGGAAAGGCATTATTCAAGTCTCCAGGAATCCAGTAAGGCTTCGGATAACAGTACGGCAAGTGTGGGGGGGGAGCCCCTCATCCACCATCATCCTGAGGCCAATCAGGCTCCTGGGGTCTTTAATAATGACTTCCAGGGAAAGCAGGTTGGGTCTAGAAACCTGGACCCAGCTCACCCAAAAATATAACATGTAGTTTGGCTGTGAGGGAAATGGGATGTGAGTAGGGTTGACAGACCCCCCCCTCCTGTGGAGGCGGGGGTCCTCTGCTGCCAGGCCCTACCTCTCCCCCACTAATCACCCGGCTGGCCGGGGGAAACGTACCCTGAAGAAGAGGAAGATGCAACAATGTAACCTAGAAGTGACATCATCACATCCAGGTTGTTAGAGCCACTCTGTGGTATTTGGGCAAAAACTCTATGGTAGAAGCCAAATTTACCATAGAGTTTTTGCCCAAATACCAGACTGTGGCCCTGATATCCCGGACATTATGACATCACTTCTGGGTCATGTGGGCAGTGATGTAAACATGTTGCTTCATGTCAGATGGGCCTCCCTGCTACTGCCAGGAAGTCCCCCCCCCATTCCCCACCGGTTGTCAGGAGGGACCTGGCAACTCTAGATGTGAGGTACTGTGTACCTCAGGAGTGGGCCTAAGGTAGATTGGGTCTCGAACTGCTTAACTACCGACCTTCCACAGCCTGCAGTTCAGCGTCTTAACCACTTGAGCAACCGCAGCTCCCCAATATCTCATAGAGAATGGTAAATGAGAGGTTAACCATTCATCTTTCAGCTTTGGCATTCCTCGCCTGCAGCTGTTTCATCTGTATTTCCTAAATGAAGGAGGAAGAGTATCCCTTAGCAGAATATTTGACTGCATTCTGTGACATCACAGCAGCTCAGCCAAAGGCTAGGGCTGACCTGGCGAGACAGGATTGGGTTGCCAGGATGCAAGCTTCTCTAGTAGTCATCTCTGGTGAGAGCCAGTTTGGTGTAGTGGTTAAGTGCATGGACTCTAATCTGGGAGAACCGGGTTTGATTCCCCACTCCTCCACTTGCACCCGCTGGATGACCTTGGGCAAGCCGTATTTCTAATAAGAGCTGTCCTTGAAAAAGAGCAGTTTCTGTCAGAGCTCTCTCAGCCCCACCTACCTCACAGGGTGTCTGTTGTGGGGAGGGGAAGGGAAAGGAGTTTGTAAGCCGCTCTGAGACTCTCTTGGGTACTGAAGGGCGGGGTATAGATCCAATCTCTTCTTCTTCTTCTGGTGAAGAGCAAAATGGTCATCCCTCCCTGTATGCTGACTGGGGCGTTGTCCTTTGACCTTGAATTCATTTCAGACATGTTTTCTGCTTGCTGCGATTCCCTCTTTCTCTCTACCACAGAAGGCAGGACCATGACAGAGATTAAGATGGAGAATATCCGCCAAGATGGCCTTCCACTGGAAAAAAGCCTAGAGCCTTTCTCAAGAGGATTACAAGAAAATGTTTCCTTCCTGGCACAGGTGGCTCAGAGTGAGTATGCGTCGCTGATATGTTGGGAAAACTGACAAGGCATGGCTAGGGAGGCTCTCTATGTTGTATAGAAGTGGTGGGAAAAACATTGCTCCTTCTTGTGAATAAAATAGATCACCAATGCCAGGGCCAGATCTTATGCCCCAAGGAAAAGAATACACTGCTGAGGATTTCACCCTGTTGATGATCTCCACTAGGATGCCCCCTGATGCAGAACCTGTAAGAAATCACCTTGGAATGCAAACTGAGCAGCTTCCTGACAAATGTTCCCATCCCAGTCAGACAGCAAACAGCGTTTAGGTCCTGTTTTCTCCAATATTACAATAGGATTCAAAGGTATTTCCCACCCCCACAGATGCTTACGTTCTGCAATAGAAAATAAAATAGGTCGCACCTTCCCCATAAGAGTATGAGACATCTAATAAGCAATGTACTAGGACTCAGATTACCGACATCTGAATGCACATAACTTTTTAGACACGACAGAGTTCAGATACAATGTAATACCAAATTTCTGCGCCAGTAGAAAACAAGGCAGTGACAACTGGCTAATGCATGCAGCAAACTGATAATACATCCTATACAGTAGTTTGTTTGTTTTTTACTTCAATTTCTATCCCACCCACCCCTGCAAGCGGGCTCAGAGCGGGTTACAAAGTCAGATAAAAATTGTCACTGGCATGACAATAAGTAGAAGTTTAACAATAAAATTAACATTATAACCAACTATGCAGCAAACCAGGGCAAGTTTGCCTTGATAGTAGAGCTCAAATGTAACCGTTTCAGAGTGGCGCCGCTGGATAATTCGCTAGATTAAAAATCAGTGCTGCCAGTAAGGGAGGCCAAGATGGATTTGGATGTCTGTTGCCTCAGCTGAAAGCTCGGCGGAACAGCTCCGTGGAAATGTAACAAATCCCATAGGGCCCTTATCCCATAGGGCCCTTATAGGTTGTTCCATCAGGCAGAGGCCAAGGCCGAAAAAGCCCTGGCCCTGGTTAAGGCCAATTGGACGTCTCTCAGGAGGAGGTAACATCCCAGTAAGCCTCTATTAAAGAGGCAAAACAGTTTTTCTCCAGGTCGTTTGCAACCTTAGAGGCAGAACCGTTCACTAATGATGTTTCTTCTGGGGAGAGGCCTTGGCTCAGTGGCAAAGCATCTGCTCGGTATGCAGAATGTTCCAGTTTCCCCGGGGGCTGTGGCTCAGTGGTAGAGCAGGAAGGTCCCAGGTTCAATCCCCGGCATCTCCAGTGGAAAGGATGAGGCAATAAAACAGGGGTGTCAAACATTAAGGCCCGGGGGCAGCTAGTACAAGGGAGGGAACAGGAGTCTGCTTGGGGGGGAGTGAGTGGGTGGAGCCACTCTTATTGTGGCATGGCAGAACAACCTGGTCTGCAGCAGCAGTCAAGCACCATGGGAGCATCTGCCCAGTGCTGCACCACTGGCTCTCCAGTCTGCATATATGGGTTTTCCTTTGCAATGGAGCCTTGCAGTGAGGATACACGAATTCGGAGCTTACCAGCTGCTGTCCTTTATACAGTTTATATCTCTGGTACTTGGCATTACGTTTACGGGACACATGGCCTGGCCCAACAAAGTGAAATTTATGTCAGATCCAGCCCTTGTTACAAATGAGTTTCTTTAACACCTCTGCGATAAAAGGTAGGTTCATATGTGGAGGGGGGTCATGGCTTAGCAGTAGAACATTTTGCTTGGCATGCAGAAGGTCCAAGATGGATTTGGATGTCTGTTGCCTCCGCTGAAAGCTCAGCGGAACAGCTCCGTTTAACAGGCCCTGTGGAAATGTAACAAATCCCACAGGGCCCTTATCTTAAGTGGCAGGTTGTTCCATCAGGCAGAGGCCAAGGCCGAAAAAGCCCTGGCCCTGGTTAAGGCCAATTGGACATCTCTCAGGAGGAGGTAACATCCCATTAAGCCTCTCTTAAAGAGGCAAAACAGTTTTTCTCCAGGTCGTTTGCAACCTTAGAGGCAGAACCGTTCACTAATGATGTTTCTTCTGGGGAGAGGCCTTGGCTCAGTGGCGAAGCATCTGCTCGGTATGCAGAATGTTCCAGTTTCCCCGGGGGCTGTGGCTCAGTGGTAGAGCAGGAAGGTCCCAGGTTCAATCCCCGGCATCTCCAGTGGAAAGGATGAGGCAATAAAACAGGGGTGTCAAACATTAAGGCCCGGGGGCAGCTAGTACAAGGGAGGGAACAGGAGTCTGCTTGGGGGGGAGTGAGTGGGTGGAGCCACTCTTATTGTGGCATGGCAGAACCACCTCGTCTGCAGCAGCAGTCAAGCACCATGGGAGCATCTGCCCAGTGCTGCACCACTGGCTCTCCAGTCTGCATATATGGGTTTTCCTTTGCAATGGAGGCTTGCAGTGAGGATACACGAATTCGGAGCTTACCAGCTGCTGTCCTTTATACAGTTTATATCTCTGGTACTTGGCATTACGTTTACGGCACACATGGCCTGGCCCAACAAAGTGGAATGTATGTCAGATCCAGCCCTTGTTAGAAATGAGTTTGACACCTCTGCGGTAAAAGGTAGGTTCAGATATGGAGGGGGTCATGGCTTAGCGGTAGAACATTTTGCTTGGCATGCAGAAGGTCCCAGGTTCAAACCCAGGCATCTCCAGTTAACAGGATCAGCTAGTAGGTGATGTGAAAGATCTCTGCCTGAGACCCTGGAGAGCCGCTGCCAGACTGAGTAGAGTACTGACCTTGGACTGAAGTAGAGGGCAGCTGCTTGCATCCATGTGATGCTCCCAGCTAACTAGTGTTTCATCCCTTGGTGTTCTGTTTGTATCCCAGCAGGAAATGTGTGGGATATTGAGACTGAGGTGGAATCGAGTGTGGAGTTGACAGAAAAAATTCAGCATCCAGGGACGGAAGAAGGGAACGTTGGCGATCGAACTGGATCAATGAGGCAGCCAAGAGGAAAGGCAGAAACAAAGGAGAAGCAGAGCAATAAAGCTATAGTGTGCCAGGGTGGGATCTTCCGTGAATTCCCAAGCCAGCAAAAAGAACAGAAAGGAAAAAGCAGGAACAAGTGCCCTGTGTGCCGGAACAACTTCACTTGCAAATGGAGCCTGAAGGCACATCAAAGAGTCCACACAGGAGAGAAACCCTATAAATGCTTGGAGTGTGGAAAGAGCTTCATTGTGAGCTCAAACCTTATTTCACATCAAAGAATCCACACTGGGGAGAAACCCTACACCTGCTTGGAATGTGGAATGAGCTTCAGTGCCAGCAGGAGCCTTAGTTCCCATCAAAGAATTCACACAGGAGAGAAACCATTTAAGTGTGCAGAGTGCGGAAAGAGCTTCACGGACAGCAGCAGCCTTACTAAACATCAGAGAATTCACACAGGAGAGAAACCCTTTAAATGCTTGGAGTGTGGAAAGGGCTTCAGTGTGAGCTCAAACCTTATTTCACACCAAAGAATCCACACAGGGGAAAAACCATACAAATGCTCTGAGTGTGGGAAGAGCTTCAGTCAGCTCTCGAACCTTACTTCACACCAAAGAATACACACTGGGGAGAAACCATATAAATGTCTGGAGTGTGGAAGGAGCTTTAGGTGGAGTTCAGATCGTACTTCGCATCAAAGAATCCACACACGTGAGAAATCACATAAATGAATCTTTCCCCCACACCTACTGAAACATAACAATCACAACTCCCACATTAATATTAGCCAACAGAAAACACTGACAGCAGAGGAGCCATACAAATGCTCACACTGTAGAGACTCCTGTAATAAGTCTAGTCTTGGTGTCTTTCCTAAAAGCCATGGAAATGTTTTTTGGAGAGCCTAGAGATGAAGCAGAACAGACATTCCCGAGGATTAGAACAAGCAGTTGTTTGACTGGAAAAGATTCTGGATTTCATTACTGTCAGCAGAGACTATGGTTTGCTTTTTTCATATCCACATTTTGTTTGGGAATAAATCTCTTGCTAATGACACACAAAAATAATCAGTTTGCTTTTCTTTCATATTTTTATGTGTTGTTCTTTGTCACACCACATCATTTTTAGCAGTGAAATTCAAATAACACTTTCCTGGGAGTAAGCCCCATTTAAAAGACCTGAGTAGCATTCTTAGTAGAAGATTGCTCTATAAGAGAACAGGCTTTTTTTTATGCCAAAGGGAAGCCAGTCAGTTCTCTTTTTTGCAAATCCATCTGCTCAGATGTTGAATTTTTTAAACAATAAAATCAGAAAAGTTTTCTGAAAGGTTCTTTCAGATATTAAACAGGGCTGGGGCTCTCTCTTAAAGCTTCATAACTTAAAGTTATATTGCAAACCAAAGAGTGGTGCAGTCTAACATGGTCAGTGGGTTCCTTGAAGTACTGTACTTGAAAGCATAGGGGGAACATAGGAAGAGAATTGATAAAGAGAAATTTTTCTCCCTCTCCCAAAATACTAGAACTTGAGGGCATTTAATGAAGCTGATGGGCAGCAGATTCAGGATGGACAAAAGGAAATACTTCATTATACACAGAGCGTGATTAAAATGTTGAATTTGCTCCCAGAGTATGTAGTGATGGCAACAGGAATAAATAGCTTTAAAAGGGGATTAGATAGATTCTCAGAGGATAAGGCCCCGGTCACACGGGCCGGATATCGGGGGGGCGGCTAATTGCCTCAGCGCAGTTTGATCCACGATTACGCGATCAGATGCACCGGCGGCATACCACGGGTCCTTCCCTCGGTGCCCGCAGGTAAACGAGGGACCGGAGGGGAATGCCGTGCGCCGGCGCGATCACACCACAGGAGTCTGGAGGCAGCCGTGGCAAACGTTTACTAGTACCTTGGAGGTACTAGTTTTTTAACTCGCATTGTCGGCGGTAAGCCACGGGTGCGCTCCACTTCCCAGATGTTGGGGTGTGATCGCGCCAGGATAATCCGCCCACCATCCGTGCCTCTCCCGCGGCAACTTTGCCATGTGACCGGGGCCTAAGTTTATCAATGGCTACTAGCCATGGTGGCTGAGGGGAACCTTCTCTCTCTCTCTCTCTCTCTCTCTCTCTCTCTCTTTCTCTCTCTCTCTCTCTCTCTCTCTCTCTCTCTCTCTCTCTCTCTCTCTCTCTCTTTCATTCAAGCATTCAAGCCAGTGCTTCGAACAGGCACTGAGAATTTACGTTTAAGCAATTAATGGAGACCTACCCACATAATGATAGGGTTTATTTTTCTGTATTTCTACAATGGCAGCCAAAAGTCTAGTGACCCTATATGTAACCGTCTTCATTGCTCCTCCACATTCAGAGGCACTAAGTCTCTGGATCCCAGAGCCACGAGGCAACATCAGGAGAAGGCCTCACCATCTATGTCCTGTTGTTGGTTATCCAGAGGAACTCATTGGCCACTGTGTGAGATAGGATGCTGGACTAAATGAACTATTGATCTGATCCAGTAGGGCTCTTCTAATGTTCTTAACAGTTTCACTTTTCCAAATATGTTATTAGTGATGTGCATGAACAAGGAGATTAACATTTTTCCCAATTCTGTCTGTTCGTTCTTCAGGACTGGTAACTATTCATAATCAGATATTTCTGTATTTACATGTCTTGCACCCAAAAGGACTTGTGACTCTTGGAAGATTATACCCTGAGAATCTTATTGATCTTTGAGGGTGCTATTGGGCTAGAATCTTGCTCATCTTCTGCAGACCAAAACAGCTACCCACCTGAATTACAGCAAGATTATTAGATAGATTCTTGGAGGATAAGTCTATCAATGGCTACTAGCCATGGTGGCTGAGAAGAACCTCCACATTCAGAGGCACTAATCTTCTGAATCCCAGAGCCAGGAGGCAACATCAGGGGAAGGCCTCGACCTCTATGCTCTGTTGTTGGCTATCCAAAGGAACTGGTTGGCCATTGTATGAGACAGCATGCTAGACTAGATGGACCACGGGTCTGATCCAGCAGGGTTCTTCTTATGCTTTTATGTTCTTCAGATCAGCATTAGAGATGCCTGGATTTTCCATCAAAAATCTGCACAGATGTTTAAATGTGGTATTTAAGCAAAGCCTGACTGGTTTTACCATGTTTCTGTGGGTATCCATTTGGATGGGAATGGTAATTATCCTGTGTCAGAGCAGGGTTCAAGAATCCTATAGCTGCCACTTCCTAGATCACTGATGATGGCCATATACATGCTCCACCTATTAGTGAGAGCTAATTAGTAAGTCCCAAACTTCGCAGTGGAAAGCAATGGAGAAATCCACCCCTGAACTTGTAACAAGCCATACAGTTAGTCTATTGCACTACTAGTATGTTATACACCTATTACCCGGTGGGGGGCCCCTGCATAGTGCTCCCCTCCTTTTTCACGGTGGGTTCAGGGCCAACTTATCCTTAGGCATGGTAGGTTATCTGAAGTACAATCTTGGCCCCCCATGTTAGGGTTATTAGAAGGAAGCACGATCAGAACAGTGGATCAGGCAGAGAAACAACAGACAGGCTCTGTTACTGAAGACTAAACCCACTGAAATCAGTGGGCAGAGGCTGCAGGAACTCTGTATTGGACTGCCCTGTTTATTTCAGATTCCTGTTATCCTAGTCCTATTACATTGCTTATTAAATGTCTGATCCTAAGGATCACCGTAGGGTCTGAGGTCTTCCCAGATTTGGGAAAACAGGGAAAAAATCATTGCAAGCGATTTCCTCCTTTTGGTTGTGGGAGGCAGTCTTCAGTGCAGCAAACTCTAGAGCAAGGGAAGTAGAATCTGCAAGTGGACGGGGCCTGTGTGGGGAAGATTCACTTCCCCCCCTCCCCAGCGAGTTCCCTCTGAGAGAGAGAGAGATTAGTATAGGTATATATAGATATATACATGTGTGTGTACATACATACACATACAAACTTCTTTATCTATCATCTATCTATCTCCTCCATCTCCTCCGTTATGTCCCCGGAAGGGCATTGCGCTCCTTGGATAACAACACACTGATGATCCCTGGCCCTAAGGATATTTGGCTGTCCTTGACCAGAGCCAGGGCCTTTTCAGGCCTGGCCCCAACCTAGTAGAACTCTCTGGCAAACGCCATCAGGGCCCTGCAGGACCTTATGCAATTCTGCACAGCCTGCAAGGCAAAGATGTTGTGCCAGGCTTTTAGTTGGGGACGGTGACGGTTTTCATTTCGGCTGGCACCATTCTCAGTTTTCCATACTTGTTCTGACCTTTTCCCTGCTTCCCATGAAACAGCTGGCAGTCTGTAATAGTGGAATAATTAATTCTAAGGCTCACTACTTGCCATCTGTTTTTAATATAATTTAATATGTTTGATTGTTTCATTTGGCGACTGTTTTTAATACTATGTACATCACCCAGAGCCCTACGATAGTATGGATAGGGTGATTCATAGATAATAATACCTGTCTGTCTAACCAGATGTCCTCTTTCTAGAGGACATGACCTCTTTTTTTGCTGTCTGTCCTCTTTTGGGCTCTTTTCAAAAAAACTGATGAAAATGTCCTCTTTTTGGGTTGGGAGGCTGAGCTTCTTTTGCCCTATAGTCCCCCCCAGTGGAGGCAACCTTCAGCTATAATAATCGGGGCATTCAAAATGAGATTTGTCATAGTGATCAGCTGTTTGATGAAGAGTCAGTCAGGAAATATGTCCTCTTTTTTGCTTTTCAAAATATGGTAACCATCTCTCTCTCTCTCTCTCTCTCTCTCTCTCTCTCTCTCTCTCTCTCTCTCTCTCTCTCTCTCTCTCTCTCTCTCTCTCTCTCTCTCTCTCTCTCTCTCTCTCTCTCTCTCTCTCTCTCTGTAGATATAGTTGGGCCGCAACGTCTGAAGGGGGTTAAGCACACAGAGCTAAGCTGCCTAGAGAGGACAGCAGGCCGTGGGAGGAAGATCACAAAAATCCTCTCTCCTCGCTTAGGGAGAGGAGGGGATTGCTTGGCCGGCGAAGAGAGAGAAGGCGAGAGGCTGCGCTCGGAGAGGTGCGTGCAGTTGGCGGGGCATCTGCAAAGGGGGTGGGGGTGGGCAGAAGAGACCCTCCCCGCTTCCTTCCTCCATCGATCCCGGTCCGGGCAGGATCCTTCCCGGCCAGGCAGAGGAAGAGCTTCCCAAGAGCCTCGCCTTTCTCTCAGCACAGGCAGGCGGGTGGCTCCTCTTGGCAAGTTTATATCTCCTAGGCAGGGTTGCCAACTCCGGCGTGTGAGATTCCTGGAGATTTGGGGGTGGAGCCTTTGGGTGTAGCGCCTGCAGGGATTCATGCTGTAAGGCTCCGAAGCACTTGTTTCCTCCGGGGTAACGGCAGCCCGTGATTCTGGGAGCTCTCCAGGCCTCTCCTGGAGGTTGGCAAACCTCCTGGCAAGGGCATGCGGGGAAAGGCTAGGAAGAGGCCACTTCTGCTATGGGGGGAGGTGTTGATTTTCTCCCCAATGAAAACCCAGAGCAGCTAAAATAATTCCTCTCTGTTTTATCCTCGCACTGACAGGGGTCATTTCCTGCAGGAGCGCACAGGAGCAGAGCTCCAGCAGTAAAGAGCCCAGGGGGCGGGCACATGCAACAAGCCCCACCCCCTGCTCCCAGCCTTCCTATCCCCCCCCCCCCCCAATAGCTAGCAATCCAAAACAGTCCCGTGGAGCCTGAGCATTGGGTGTTGCCTTCTGACACCTTTCCAGTGATGTCAGGGGGTGTGGCATATGCAAATAAGATATGCTAATGAGTTATGCTACTGAGCTCCTGCACCTCTTTTTCTATAAAATGACCCCTGCTCCGCAACAATATGAAAAGGCCTTTTGCCCGAGACCCCTGGGGAGCTGCTGCCCTTCTCAGTAGACAGTGCTGGCTGTGATGGTCTGATTCAGTATAAATCAAGATGTGTCACCCTGTTAAT